TTTTTTGTCTTCAGTTTGTGTACATTTGTGGACAGAGAAGTGGTCTGACTTTTATTAGAAACCAAAAACATCTGTTGACTGTCAGGCCACAGGAGAAGGACGATGAGACGTCACGATAACAGGAAATGTGATGAAAATCTAATTAACTCATGTGGGAAATGTAGGTTTTGGTATTTTGTATTTCAGCCACAACACATCATAAAAACTTGTGCTTATCTGAAATAAAAACATTTTGACATTTTGTGCTTTACAAACGTGCACGTTACAACCAACCGTGTCTGTTAGCAATGCGGGAAACTATTTTATAGCGTCACATCGATGACAGTAAAGGAAGTTAATATACTACAGCTGAAAATTACCTCCATAAAAACACCTCCGCGGTCATTTATTTGATCTTTATGGTGCGTTTCTCTACCCTACCGGCCGCTTTAGACCCTTAAACACATCGTTGTGACTGTCAGATTTCAGGATGTGACGTACCCGCGGGCTGGACTCACCTCGTCGTACGGTTTGGAGCTGACCACTCCACAGAAGCGCCACACTTCATCCCAGAACTCTGCGTAGCTGTCCACCGACCACTGGTACAGATCGTTGTAGTTCACTGGAGGGCAGAGAATCAGTGATTACTAGAGAGCAGAAATACATGTTCAAAGATCAGATGAACGAAGGTAATTAGATTACTTTAACGCCACTAAAAATCAGTTAAACCAGAAGCAGCAGACAACTCTAACAATACGCTCATTGTCCTACAAACCTGCACTTAAAACTACTGATAATCTCCACTTGATTTATTGATTTATTGATTTATTGATTAATGATTAACATCAGAAGTGAATCTCAGTTCCAGTTATTTGGTGGGAACTGTTTCCTTCAGTGAATATTGTAAAACAAGTCCGTCGTCTGGGGAGGTTCACCAACATCCGGTGACTAACAAAAAGGAAAAGCACCGTTTAGAGTGACCCAACATTTCCATTTATGATTTAAAGCAGTCACTCCCAGTATTTTTGGCATATGACCTTGATTACTCACAATCACTAATCAGCTTTTATGGGCTGTAAAGCAAAGAGTCATCTCAGGCTGCGACTACTTAATAGTTTCTCGGGTTGCAGACACAAGATTTAAAATATGTTTGAAACAGACAGTCTTGTGTTCAATCCTCTTCTTTCTGAACTCGTTAATCAGACGTATTTGGGCTGAACAGCAATATGTCCACATGCAACACACACACAGCAAGAGCTGCTTTTATGAAGCTAAAGCAGATAATAAAATACCATCATGAATGAAACACTGTGGTGCTGCAGCCCACAAATAATATTAAGATAAGATGAGGACTTAATAATCCTACAAAATCTGCAGTGTTGCAGCCACAAAGGTGAAAAATGTAGGAGCATCAGTCAAAGAAATACAAAATATGCATGAGTACTGTTGATATCGTGCAGATTGTTCTGGATGTAGAACTTCAGATATTGCACAGATATTAATTGTGGAAAGAAATGAGGATTACTCTACTCGTATACAGTCATCCTCAAATGTATTCCTCCCAGTCCATTAAAGAAAAGGCAAAATCCACAACAGTCACTCAAAAAACTAGAAACTGAAAAAAGTAATAATAAATAAAAATTTGCTAAATTATAATTTAGTGAAATAAGACGTTGCTTTTGAATTGTGGTTAAAAAGGAATAGTTAAAAAATAATAAGAATAAAAACTGTCGTGGACAAATTAGAGCCCTTTGCTGATGAGCAGTGGTCCAGAATACCTGTCAACAGGTGCAGAAGTCTGACTGAGAGTTACAGAATGTCATGATTTTCATTAAATTTTTTATTTATTATTACTTTTGTCAATTTCAACTATTTCAGCTGTTTATTTCCTTCTTTAATAGGAGGATATAAATACATTTGAGGATGACTGTATGCAGGAAAATATTGATATTCCACAGACTCTTATACTGGACATACTGAAAATGCATGCATACTTGTATATATGTAATTATATATATTGTGCATATTGTACATACTCCAGAAATTAGGCAAATGTGCAAAAATCACATATTTTGGGGGATTTTTTCCCCAGTAAAATGAAAAGAACAAGGAGACTTCTCACTATAATCTCATGTCGCATATTTTTTTAGAATTTTTCTGCCATATATTTGAACCTCTAAACCCGGGGAGATGACTTCACAGTGAAGTTTCAGCAACGCATTTGTTTTTATATATATATATATAAATCACTGCATATGTTCAGCATGAGGATGCCATTTTTAATTATATCATCATTTCACATTCCCTCCATTGCGTAACACTCCCTCTTCCCTCCTATTCATCGCACACCCGGCTGACCAAGTTTTCCAGCATTCCCCGCAGAAGCCTGTTAGTTGGGACCGTCACGGTTCGTGGAGACAACTGAACGAGGCCGCGGCTCCTTCATGTGCTGGCGGCTCTGCGGGGGAGGCTGGCTGGCTGTGATCCACGGAGCCGAGCCGCAGCCTGCAAACAGCTAATTATCAGAGAGCAGCGAGTGTTGACGAGGTCGGAGGCCAGAACTCATAATGCGAGCGTGCACCTGCAGAGAGGTGCTGGCTGCTAGCTTAACATGCTACAGACAGACAGACAGACAGACAGACAGACAGAGGCTCTCTGTGATGCAGCTTCCAGCCTCACTAAATCCCTCCAGCACACCTACTCTCCCCGTCTGGCTGCTCGTCTGCCTCCCTCCCTCCCTCCCTCCCTCCTTGCTCCACACTCACCCAGATTAAGTCCGTAGTCCCCGTTGACCTGCTTCCTAAACTTGTCCATCTGCGTGTTCCTCTTGGAGTCCGGGTACCACAGCACCTTGCTCTCCATGTCCATGATCTTCTCGCTCTTTCCTTCCGTGTCTTTGGACATCTTTGCTGCCTCCCTTTTTTTTTTTTTTTATCCCAGAAATACCAGCTAGCTCGAATCCCACAGCGCCGTTCGGAGGCTGACCGTACCTGCTGCTGCTGCTGCTGCTGCTGGCAGATTAAAACCACCGGAGAGCTGCTTAGTTTGAATGGCTCCGGGCTGGAAGTGCGCGACAGTTAGCGGCAGGACTCGCTGTCAAAGGCAAAGCGTGGGGCAGCAGAGGAAAACCGACAGGCCACGCCCCCTGCGTCGTGACGTAGCACGGCGCGTCGCGTTCAAGAGCGACGGTGTTCAGGACCGTTGCACACAAAGTCAGTTACGCAACCGCTGCCTTCCAAGTGTATTGGGAATTTTAATTGTATTTGATAAAATGAATGTATTAATAGAGAAGCTGTCTCTCAATATCATCTTCAGTCTTTACCTTTAGTATCTTTGATTAGGTTGCACTTTATTTTTCACCACCAGTGGGGAAAATTCAGCTTTTGCAGTAGGAAAGAGCACAAAAAAGTGACAAGAAGAGAATAAATAAACTATAAATAGTAAGAGCTAAGAAATGGAATACAATAGAGCGACTCACACACACACTATATTCACTATAGGTCCATATAATGGATACTATTAATTAAAAAATAAAAGAGATAAATAGAATAAAATAAAATATGGTACAAAATAAAGTATGGTACAATTGTGACAGTTATTGCACATAAGGCAGATTTATTGCACACAGTAAGTGGTATCTGGCATGTGAGAAAACCTGGGTATAATCTTGTATATTATGGAGACAAGAACTCCATCATGTTGTTGTAGATTCTGACAGCGGTTGGGATGAAGGACCTCCTTCTTACACCGTCGGTGGATCAGTCTGCTGCTGAAGGAGCTGCTCAGAGACCCCACAGTGTCGTGCAGGGGGTGAGAGGTGACGTCCATGATGGATGTCAGCTTGGCCAGCATCCTCCTCTCACCCACCTCCTCTATGGAGTCAGTCCAGGACAGAGCTCGCTCTCCTGATGAGCTTGTTGAGCCTCTTCCTGTCCGTGCAGCCTCCACTCCAGCAGACCACAGCGTAGCAGACAGCAGAAGCTACCACAGAGTCATAGCAAAGTTCTGAGAAGAGTCCTGCACACTCCAAAGGACCTCAGTCTCCTCAGCAGGTGGAGGCGACTCTGGCCCTTCTTGTACAGGGCGTTGTCTGTCCAGTCCAGCTTATTGTTTGCGTGAACACCCAGGAACTTGAAGCTCTCCACTACCTCAGTGTCCAAACCCTGGATGTTCACTGGAGCGGCGTGTAACGTCTTCCTCCTGAAGTCAATCATCACCTCCTTTGTCTTACTGGCATTAAGCTGAAGCTGGTTGAGCTCACACCAGCTGACAAAGTCTTTGATGACCTTCCTGTATTCCAGCAATGGCTGTGTGGTTGAAGAACTTCTGGATGTGACAACGTTCTGTGGTGTGAGTGAAGTCTGAGGTGTAGAGGGTGAAAAGGAAAGAGGAGAGCACCCTGAGGGGCACCTGAGCTGATCACAAATCAGTTTGTGATGTTAGATAGAAAATGCACAAAATTAACCATCTACAAAGTTTAATATCAATGTTTTCATTTCTCTAATCCTAATCCTACATATGGGATGAGATTAATATTTTAGAATAATAATAACAACAATTACTGTCATCATCATCATCTGAATCATCATCATAATAAATTATAATAAACCTTTAATTCTACAGCACCTTTCAAATCTGAAGTTACAAGATAATTGCAAAAAATGTGTTTAAACAAAAGACAAAGTATGAGAAAAGGGTGACAATCGAACATTAGAAAGGACGTTATAACCTTTTATACAAGTGCTGATCTATCCTGAAGGGCTTTTATAGGTTTTTAACTGAGAACTGACTGAGTTGTATTGACAGTGCAGCTCCAACACAGTCACAGTGTTGAGAAAAAACAATAAAAGCATCGATTCCCTTTGTATGAAGTCTGGATATTATCATCATACAAATAGTCTGACAACGGTGCTCCTGGAATAAAGCAAGTATAAAGAGTCTTGATGTGAAAAACTTCATATCCAGGCAAAATATTGTCATAATTTGTTAAATTTCAAAAGTTTTAAGAGTACATTGCAGACATTTTGAAAATAAAAAAGTCAATTTAACAGTTTAGCAGGTCTCTAAACTACAGAGATGTCCTCCTGAAAAATGTGTGTTAGTGTGGTTTGACCTTTATCTCCTGTTTTTGTCACATGAATGATGCACAAAGTTTGTCCTCTAAAGATGTAAAAGTCATCCAGTATTATCTGCTCTTATTAAACATCTTTACTTTATAGATCATGAGGAGACGATGAACATCTTATAAAAAAATATCACTTGTGAACGTTACATTTTTCCACCTACATGTGTTGTTCTGTTGCATGAATACTTTTAGTTTTTGTAATTAAAGTATATCTGGCTGATGATATGTTGTACATTTGCATCAGGACTTTGTTGAATATATGACTCTGACTCACGTGATGAATTATTTCTACATCGTTGCTATTTTATCTTAAGCATTTTTTTTTAAATTTTATAATTTCACATTTCCACTGTTTTCATGACGAATATCCAGCACATGAAAACATAGAAAGTACAGGTAAGAATAATGTGCAAGTATGAAAGTTTCCAATGTGTCTTCGTGCTTGTTTTTGTGACATATCTCTTGAATCAATTAATGGTGCTGGTCGTTCAGAATATTTTTATTAAATATTATCATCCACTAGCTGAAGAAATGTCCTGACATTTTTAACTAAACGTTTTTTTTTGTTTTTTTTTTTTTTAAGTTCCGTTTTTATCATATTTTTAACCCAATCACAAGTTTCCATCCCGTAGAGATCTTGAACGTCTCCCACACGTGAACGCGCAACACAAACCGTTCAGTCACTCGTGCACGCGGGAAACTTCCCTGTCAAAATGCAGGCTTCTGATTGGTCCTCAGCTCGCTGGTTCCACATCAGCCGACGGATCGGTCTATGCAGGGGGCGGGCCGCCAGCCTTGGACGGGCGGCTCGCTTGTCCAATCAGAGGCTGACTTTGGGGGGCTTCAATGGAGGCGTTCTGGCCAATCAGAGAGCAGGAAAGTAGGAGCGTTTTAGAGGTGTGCCCAATCACTGAGAGCACAGAACGACCCTCCTCATTGCCTGGTGGTGTCATCCCAGGTTTGATTAACACATACAAACAGTATTGAGTCCTAGTTCCGCTTCTGGATGACCCCAGTTTGTCTCGTAACTATATGAATAGTAATTTCACAACAAAGATTGATTTTACTATTTGCTGGTGCTCTTGCAGTTTAAATACACTCACTCATTGGCCCTTCTGCTGTGGCTGGAGCTGTCTTTTGTAGACACTAAACCAATCCCATAGTTGTTCACTTCGATCAAGCAAAAAATTACAGAAGAAAAACTAAGTTAGATGGTTTTTTATTTTATCATTTTATAATGCCTTGTTGTTGCTGCACAGCCTGGAGAACAGTCACTGTGCATTTCACTGCTCATACTGTATGGGCATGGGACAAATAAAACTCTTGACTCATGACATAAATGTGGGTTAAAACTAACAAACTGAAAGAGAACGGAGCCAAAACCTCTTATTTCTCTTTAGGAAATAAGTCACATTGAATGAGCCGTCTGTGGCCACGCTATTGTCAGAATTGTAACAGGGACTGAGCATCACTTTGAACTCTGTCTTATGATGTTTTACGCTGCTGTGTCGTCTGTACAACTGGTACCATGATGCAGATAGACGGGGCTGAAGAAAGATGTCGCAACATGTCTGATGTTACTCTGCAAAGCGGTATCAAAGTTCCTAAAAGCTGTGCAGAAATACAGAGTCCAGATCTCCAACATGCAGGCCTCACAAAGAAATCACTTGAGGAACACTGAGTCATGACACTGGATAATGTGTTGGGTTATTATCATCCTCTTACCGAAATGTTGTCACCAGTACTTTTATCAATACGGTCTGGACCTTTATAACAGCATTAGCCTAAACATAGGAGAGGATGTAGGATGTATGATACGACTACTGTGTGGCTGTGAGAGTTAATGTATTTCCATGATGCTGTTAAAACAGAAAACTGAGCTGAATCTATAAATCCTTATACATTTTTATTGTATTGTGTGTATTTTGCATTGGTAGTTTATATATGAGTCAACAGACGTTTTATTCTTTGAGATAAATTGGTTTGTCAGAGGGCTGCAAGGTGCCTCTGTGGTTAGTGCCGTTGCCTCACAGCTAGAAGTTTGCGTCCCGGTGAGGACACTCTTGCTGTGGAGTGATGCCAGAGTGTACTTCAGGTCAACTACTCCATAGGTTGGAAAGTTTGACTCCTAATAAGCCCCAATGTGCAAGATTTACAGAGTTCTGAAATATATCTAAAGGTCAGGTGTTGCAATCTTTACAACACTTCTATACTATAGTCTACATTATTTTATAACTCCCAGACTGGTTACCTGTCCAGGTGAACCTGCCTTCACCCTGAGTCAGCTGGGATAGACTCCGCCCCCCATGACCCTGGTGAGGATGATGGTGTAGAGATGATGGATGGATATTTTCCTCAGAGGGCTTTATGTGAAACCATAAGAGAATGAATTAATTTGACTTTCCCCCTAATAGGACTGTTTTTAGAGTCTGTGTGAAAATGTTGTCATGATTAATAATTTAAACTATAAAAACGCATATTCTGTATTCTAGGTTTTTGTATGCTATTTCAGAATCTCTG